TCTCTCTCTCTCTCTCTCTCTCTCTCTCTCTCTCTCTCTCTCTCTCTCTCTCTCTCTCTCTCTCTCTCTCTCTCTCTCGCTCGTGTTCTCTGTGTTCTTGGTAACTGGTATCACTGCACGAGTTCTGTGCTCCAGCTCGCCACCAACCTACCCTTCCCTCTCTCTCGGTGTCGTCATGCTTAAATTGGTATCACTGCACGAGTTCTGTGCTCCGGCTTCCCACCAACCTCCCCTCCCCCTCTCTCTCCGTGTCATCATGCATTCCATGAAGACCCTCCCCGCCATGACGCCAGCGCAGGAGCTCTACCTCGGTCCATGCTCTGTACTGAGATGTGCAGAGGTCATGGTACATTCCAAGAATGGCATCTTTGGCTTTCCTGCTTTCCAGAAGTGGCATCTGTGCTCTGACATGGTTATCATCCTCTTGCTGCATCTGAATCTGTTACAGGTTCTCAGTCTCTTACGGGTTCTGGCAGGACCAGTCTGGTACGGGGACTACTGTCTTCACCCAAATAGAATGCACGGCCATTATGGCCGTATGTATTTGGGCATCTTGCAGTCTAGATACAGCGATCATGACCAAGCATTTTATGTGGGTGGAGACTGTGGTCTGAGAACCATGTCGGATTGTTCTTGACTTGTCCTGTTTCTCAAGCAAACAGATACCAAACTGGTTCTCGCTCTGAGAGCCAGGACGTACCTGGAAACCACATGTCTCCCGATTGGCAGCACCAAGCACCAAATAGGAATAGGACGCCTGGTCATTATAGCTGTATTTAGGGAAACTTTCAGTCTAGGACTCTAGGTACATGGATAATGACTGAGCGGGTGAAGGTGGGTAGCCACCAGTTTCTGAGGTATGTATGCAAGTACTCCTGTCAGGGGTAATGGTGAAGGGGGGTAACCACCCTTAGCAGTCACCACCAGGCCGGAGCAATGAACAATACCAAGTTGGCAGGCAGGGGTAATGCTACCATGCTACATGACAATAATGTTTGTTTATACTATATTTGGAAACTGCCCGGTGAACCGTGGGCAGAGAGGAAGAAGAGGACAACAAACGAGGGGCTGTGACAGACTGTTTCGTCAGAGTCTAACCAAGTCATCAGGTCCCTATATATGTTTCACGATATATAGATCTCTGTGTATGTGTGTGTATGTGTGTGTATGTGTGTCTATTTGTGTGTGTGTGTGTGTGTGTGTGTGTGTGTGTGTGTGTGTGTGT